TGTTTCCAATTTGCGACACGTGATATACGCTGCAGATGGAACAGTGTCTTGTGATGTACATTTCAAATAGTCTGAACAAACTGACATAATTCTATTTCAATTGTTTGAGGAAATTCCTGATAAAATATATTAGTTAAGAGTGTTTCTTTAAAAAAATGCCAATATTAAAAAAAATACACACTATTTTGATATTAAATACGTATATAGTATTTATCAAGGGCGTCACTTCTGTTGGGTTAAAATTAGGTTATTGGGCGATAGGTTAGAACTTTCTTGCAGTTAATCTTGGGGGTAATGTGTAATTTTTTTCTGTCCCAGAGAGCATTATATGCATATCATATGTCGTGTCATGTGGCTTGTTTAGTCTCTCGATTCGTAGTCACCGTCTACACCAATACTGCAATACGATGTAGTTAATATCACATCAATCAGCAATAAACGATATTTTACTCCGAACCTTGAAATTCACACAACAGGGATCCAGTGTTTCCGGCCGTTCTTGTTTGTGTCCATTAGACCGGACTTTTCGGCAGCGGATGTTTAAAACTGTTATGGTTCTCTTTGTATATCTCTGATTTATGGCTTGTCTTATTCCGTGCAGAATTCATTTTATATCTTTTCCAACACATTGTACGTACAATAAACTGTACAGCGTGTCCATTTTCTGATGGTGTCGGTGAATTGTCGTCATAATCACAGTCCCTCTATCACAGTGACTGTGTCATAATGTACATTGTCATTGTTATTCTTTTTCGAAAATCTTTTAATTACCACAACACCCAGTTTATTCGTGTCGAATTTCAACTATTCACGAAAGACGACCAGTCACACTCACATTGATTACAGCAGCTGTTTTTTTTTTAAACTCGAGTACTAGGCCAAACAAATGACAGTCTACATAATTCTCAACAACTTGGATAACTAATGACAGTAATATTTTGCCACATCATTCTAGAAGGATCAATTGTTTCAGGTACTCGATGAGATCCTCACTCATCCGTACTACGTTTTCTTTTTTCACATACGTCCCTTTGCGTTTCATTTTCAATATATATGTTCATGAAATTAGCGTGATGACTATCACGAATTGGGTAAGGGTTTTCAGACCTCTGTCTAGATGTAAGCATGGAGATAGAAAAGAGATCTCTTTTCTATCTCCATGATGTAAGCATGTTCGCTAGCCAGTGCGTTGTGTACTTAACACGCGTGACTGTGTATTGTTTTCATTGATTTTTATTCTTCGGTGTGGTTTTTTTTTAACTAATCCAATGTTTATCTTTGTTTTCACGTGTACAGATTCCTGTGAAATGACCATTCTCGGACACGACGGTCACTTGACAAAAAACAGACTTTAGATGACACGGGGTTGATTTTTGACCCAAAATTTACCATAAATCTCACCATAAATACAGTTGGCATTCAATTTTGTGTAAAAAGGAAAATAAATTGTTTTACAGCCAAAATACCTCAACATCTTCAAGCTATACGTATTCGCTTGAAATCACATAAAATGTGCTTTAAATTTATCGACTTCGAGATATAAGTAAATACCCTTAGTGTAAACACAAGGTTTCGTGATCAACAGCATATACATAGAACTACTTGGTAAAACTAAATTAACAGTCGAGCTACGAAGTCAAATTATGTACTCGTACGCTCCCTCTTCACCCGACCCTCTGCAACACGTGGAGTTTTGAGTTGGCCACCTTTACCTCATTGCTGTCAACAAATGTAACTCTTGAAAAAAAAGCAATACATTTGAAGTTGTCATTTGATCCGAAGCAATTTCGAAATCCATTGAAATCGAACACCACGTTTTCTGAAATTAATGAAAGTCTCACACCTGAGTGTCTGTTTCGTATTGTGTCTTTTTTAATAGCTCCGAGTAGTGTCTGAGTTTGTACAAGTGCAGCCTAAAGCACGGTGCGGTTTTCGTCGAGTCTTGTATAAAAGATTAGGCTTTACTGTATCATATGAACTTTATCGATGTTACCAATCGTGCTTGTACCGCGTTTGTTGATAGAGTCACTCAGGAAAATGACGATCAGTCGACAGTTGTTACCGACGGTGACAGACTGGCGTGATGAAATAAGAATTGGATTGGCAGAATCAGGAATTTCCAGTGACTTGGTGTAAACCCTTAAATAATTCTGAAATAAAAAAAAAATGAATTATAGACATGACGTCATTTTAGATATGTAAACCTGCAACCAGAATCATAGGGGCGGATGCTTTTCCACGGTGGTGGCACACCGTTACGATAACGTTATTGTCTCGATGTGTTGTGGGACGCTAGCGTTTGAATACCGACGCTTTCAGTGGAGAGCCCGCGGGGGAGGGTGAGTTGAAGTTATAATGTATATGTAGGCTGCGCGATAAAGACAGTTTTTTAACATAATTTTGCACAGTCGAAATTCCTTTGCTTCGAGATTATGTTGAGTCAAGTCTTTTTCACGGTCATGTAGAACCCAGACTTCTCTTTTTTTTTTTAGAAAACGTGTTTTGACTACATTTTTACTAACAAGTTAATGGCGATTACCGTATTTATCCGGGGTAAGCGCCCATGTCCGGGCAAACGCCCACCCCCACAATTTTGATACAATAATTTGTTTGCACGTTTGCTAGCCCGTAGTAGAAATACTGCATACACATCATTATACACAGATGATGCGCATTTTACTGTTTCACAAAACGAATAGCATTTTATGTACGAACCATATACATTGTCCATCAAGATAGAATATTGTTACTTTAAATGTTGGTTTATGATGTTAACACGACAATAAAAAAATCAGAGATTCAGAAAGTTGAATAATCTACATAAAATGTAAAGTTGGTACCGTTATTCGAACTATTTAGGAGCTGTTTGCATATTTTTAATATGGACGGACTTAGGTTTTACCTCGTGTGGTCATTTGGTGCAAGAAGTGTATTATATTAAATAAAAAAAAAACATTAAAACATTTTCATAAAAAAACACCATTTTTTGTTCATTTAAATGCCGATATTCATTGGTCCTATCGTAAAGTAGTTCCCACGAGAGCTTGGCCATGAACTTGATCTCGCCCAATTTACGATTATAATACATGTAAGTGTGCGTTTCTACCGCCCTTTCTACCTGGGGTCAGCGCCTCAGTGGAACCATGGGCTGTAGTACATCCATGGCGGAACCAAACATTATACACCGTGTTGTACCTGTATTTATGAAAACAATAGTCATACACTAAGCTGTGGACCCATACAGTATGTGTAAGTAAAATAAAACTAACTTCAATAATGTTCTTTAATAAGTGTGTAACAGATCCAGTGAACGGAAAACTTCACGCTTATCTGATACTTTAACGATCCAGACACGGGTTACATAGAGAGAGTGGCAGTAATAATAGCCGCTA